GAGACGACCGAGACGACCGAGACGACCGAGACGACCGAGACGACCGAGACGACCGAGACGACCGAGACGACCGAGACGACCAAGGCCGAGGGAGAAGACGACCTTTGCAGATGTGGTCAGCCGCAGCAAGGCCCAAACACTGGGAGACACAGTGACATAGCATGACACAGCTCATTTGGCTTTGTCATCAGGGGAATCGTCCCAACCAAACCCAGGGACTTCTTCCACGGGATCTTCAACGCTATTCCCTTAACGTGAGGAACATTGGGTGTTAGTAGCGTGTTTTTCTGCAGCCCACACCTGCTGGTAGGCCAGTGCTCCCAAAGACCAAATGCTCAACCTTTCCCTCAGAGTCAGCAGCATGCACAGGAGCAGGTTCCAGTTGTGGGTTGGCACCTATGACACTTGTAAGTTTGACGCAAAGTTTGCTGCCTCCAAAGGTGGAGCTGTCGGAGATCGTGGAGTACTTGAACAATCCAAGCAAGTTCAAGCAGGAGCTGAGTGGTAGCAAGACCTTGTATGAGAAAAATCATGCAGATTCAGCTAATGAGATGAGGGTCAGACGCAAAGAAGTCAACGGAGTGTGCGCGAGTGCGCGCGGGCGATGGAAGAGCTGGGGTGATCGCACATGTATTTCCATCGCATGTCGAGTGCATGTCACAGTCTTATTTCCATGTCAAGAGAATGGCAAATACACCAGGCTGGTGCACGCTTACCACGTGGTGGATTGTTAGTAGGCGGGGCGGCCTGCACGCTGACCTTTGTGTTTTTGAACGGACCAAACAAACAGGAAGCTTCGATCGTTTCTTAGCTCGGAGCGAAACATGAACCGGGTGTGTAGCTCAAAGAGGAAGACCGACCCTCGTTCCTGGATTCGGGTAGGGGCGAGAAAGGGGGTCTCCCGGATTGAAAATGCACAGTTCGGCGAAAATACATGGAGATGTTAACCAATACATGGTGAGATTGGTGAGAAATAGACCAATCTACCCATGTAAGGTTAAAATACACAGTTCGGTGAGCCCGCACAGCATGCCAAAAAGCTACGAGGCCCCAGCGGCACCGGGAAGACCCTCCTGGCGCGGGCAGTCGCCGGCGAGGCGATCGCGGAAGACCGGTTGTCTTGATGTGAGTGAAATTGTTTGTAGTGTTTCTGGTTGATTGCAACAGTTGAAGAACCATCAAGAACCTATCAAGGTTGTGTGTCAGCTTGAGCATGGACACTGGGTACTCTTTTGGCTGCAGAACATGGTTTCTTTGTGTTTCTTTGACAGATTTGCAAGAAGGGTGCGACTTTCTTTGTCCATGGCTGGTTCCAGGCGAACTGCAACTTCTTAAGTGCTTCAGCCTCTGAGTTTGTGGAGGTCGTGGCTGATCTGTTTCTGTGGCGATTTTGGTTTGGCTTGGAGACGAGACGATGTTCTTATCAGATTCAGATGATATCAGATGTTTATAGATGTATATAGATCCAAAGAGGTTGGCACGGGATTCCCTTTTGCGTAACATCAGGTCCCCGGTGGTAGAACGCAACATTCCGGTTTGTAGCCGTTGCCATGTCACTTGCTTTTGAAAGGAACCCTTCCATCAAACGGACAGATCGACATAACAATTTGGGATGTTTTAACCAAATGTGTGAGCGTTGCTGCGCTGTTATGCCGAGGCATTTCCTAGTTTATTTTTTTGGGGGGGGCAAGCATGCTTTAGACCAAGAGCCTTCAGCTTTTGGGCAGAAAACCCTACGTCCAAAGCCAATCCTGCCAGCGGCGAGCAATTGGATCGTTTTGCGAGACGGAAAGGCCTCGTTCGCTTGGTCAAGGATCAAGACGGGGCGGGGGGTCGAGCTGAAAGCGCGGTCGCGCGGCCTCGCGGGCACCTCAGTCGTATGACAGTTGGCTCGCTTGGGAGATTCCAAGACATGACTTACAGTATGACTTATTTATTACTGTACATGATACAGTATATATTGTTTTCACACACACACATCCATCCTTTGGCCACCACTTTCGCTATTAGACTATCACGAGTGACAGACCGTGCCCTCCGCTCTCCGTGCGGACCGAGAGAGCGATTCGGCCGTTGGGACCGAGAGCGTTTCGCCGTGTTCTTCGCGACCGAGGCTGTCGCCCCCCATGGATGTCAAGAAAGGTGGCCGAGATCGAGTATGGGAGGCCGCTCTGTTGGGTGCTTGCGCTGTGACTGCTCGATGTGCTGGGGATGCCATGGTTCCGGATGTGGGCGACACCCAAAGGAACCTGAACGATGAGAGGAATTTGATCGATTTTCCTGGGGCCACTTGATTCCTCAGGCTTGGCCCTCGCCACTTTTCCAAAGGATGATGATCGCCCTTGTGGGGTCCGCTGGTGGAGATAAGACACACAGACAACTGCTCCGTTGGGACTTCAACCTATCACCAGGACAGCTGAAGTTGTGAAGGCTTCCAGAATCCATGTGCGGAGTCCGACGAATCCCTACGGAGATGACCTGCTGAAGTTCTGTTCGACGCCTTTCGATTCTGATTTGCAGGGCGGTCACACAGTGATCGACCACCTCAGCCCTTTTTACAGCGGGGACTCCAAGTCTGGGTTGGGAGTCAGGAGGCCTCGTTTCAGTCGGGTTGTAAGCGGTTTTGGGATGCAAACACACAGCGTATTGAATACCCGGAGAATGATCTCTATAAACTGCCAGTCATTTATATAACTCATTACTCTATTGTATAAATGCATTTTTGACCACCATGTATAGACAGGGTATTGTTTTTCAATTTTTTGGGGAACCTTTGACACCATTTTATAGAGATGGTTTTTGTCTACTCTGGTGGCCTTTCTTGGCATGCCTTGTGAACCTTTGACAGGCATTTTATAGAGGAGCAAGGCGCTGCAACACGCAGCAGATGTTTTATTGCCCGCTCCTTTATCGTTTTTGCTTTCTTAAAACTCTATATACATATTTGTCTATCTCTGTATATTAGGTATCTTCAAAACATGTTCTCTTGCTATTTGGTCGCCTTCGCCTTCATCTAGTTTTTCTTATTTTAGAAATCTCTTGTTTTGGCTATTTGAAGTTGGATTTATCATTTTATAGAGGCTGCACTTGTCCATCCCTTAAGTGATCTCGTGGCCTGGCCATGCACCGATCCTCACAGTAGAATTTTCTAGGCAAATACGCTGATGCGGCCTCTGCGAATGAGAGGATTCGCCAGGCAATGGAAGCAAAGAAATTCCAGAGCTGCACGCTTCTTCTTGCCGCAGTGGTTGCCCATTATTGATCATTGTTATAAAGCATACATTTTATAAAGGCTCTACCGACATCTGGATAAGACTGCTTGGCCAGAACACGTATTCTCCAGCCACCGTGACCTGGGAAGTATTTGGAACCATTTTTCCTCATCTCGTATCAAGGCGATTTCAGAGCGAGAGGTTTCTCCGAGCATACCCATACCTTTGA